TCTATGTTTGTTTTTATTTTCTACTCTTGAGATACACATGACCTAGAGGCTAAGAATAAATGTGTCTGGTAGCCAGACACTCTTCACTCCTGGGCAGTACTAAGAATGACGTACTTATTTCTCAAGCTCCAACATTTCCCAAAGGACCATCCAGTTATGTTTGCATCTAATCACTGTTGTGACATATTTCTCACTTGTAGCCCATATGCTTCCAGACATGTGCTTCCTTGTACATTGTGCATCTTAAGGATTGCCTATCATTTAGGAGAAAGGGGCTAGACACTTCTGATTTTATCTTTGTAATATACTGAATTACAAATTAACACCTACTCACAGTGGACCTGACCCATTCTCTGACCTTATCCGAAATCTACATTTGGATCTTGGCATACAGTCAGCAGTACTTGGTTAACAGAAAGCAGTTCCAGAGACCGTTTCCACTGAAGTACATACTCTTTCCACTCTTTTTAAGGATCATGTGCATTTCAGAGTCCCAGACCTATAATTAGATGTGCTGAAGGGCGGATTTGGTTATGAGTGATGTTTGTTCTTTTCTATTGTGAGCCTGAGAATTTTTACATCTGGCACATAGTAGAACAAGAAGGAAAATCCCAGTCTGTTGTCTCCATCCTTATTTGTTCTGCATCCAGCTTAGTTTTGCAGAAGTCCATTGAAATTACAAGTGCCTTTTGGAGGCTTACAGCACTAGGAGCACTGGACTTGAAGTGTTGAATGATGGGCTTATTTAGTGTGCTAGACTGCCTGTAAATGTTTACTACTTTTAATTAAACTCAATGTTACAGTTAATGTTTTGTTTATAATTTCAGCTAGTTACAATGTCAGTAGGTGTGTGCTTTGGGCCCCAATTTACCAGCAGCTTCATTGGAAGAAAGCAGCCAAGGGAAAAGGGGTAAGAATGTCACCCCATGAGTAATTGTGTGCTCCCTCGAGTGCCTGGCACTTGCCAACATCCACACTGGGAGCTGGGCCAGAACTACAGATGAGCCTCAAGGATGCTTATAGTAAACGGGTCTTCAGCTGAACAAGGGAGCATAAAGCATGCTCTGTGTTTTGAGAGAAGAGAGCAGATAATCAGTTGACAATATGTATTTGCTGCTGGTGTTTCAAAATTGGATCCTGAAAAGTGAGCTCAAGCACTTAGGTGTTGAATCTTGCCAACAAGGAGGAGTTTCAGTTAGGAACTCACAATCCATTATACTTGTAGTGTAGAGTACTTTCAGGCTGAAGGGTGAGTATATGTGTGTGTGCGTGTACATATGCATCCTAGAATCTAAGATGAGGGGCTCTAAATGTGTCTAAAAGCTTTTGACAGATTTTGGCCTGCTTCTTCTCATATGGGAAATAGGATGCTGCAGAGCTTAGGTCTCAAAGCAGCAAATGCTTCTATATAAGTGTAACCGTGAAAGTGAAGTATTTTAGCAAATTCAGCTCTGGAAAGACAATTCAGCTACTAAATTTAGTACTGTATACCTGCTGTCCTTTTTTATACCAGGTTATGGTTATCAGTATTGGATGTACTCCAAGCCCTGAAATTTTAAAGTTTCCTGAAATGCTTGCCAAGTCCATTCTTGGTATCAGCGGGCAGTGACCTGGATTAAGGGGTACAACATCCCCAGTGTCTTGTTTTCTAAACTTATTTAAAACACGCCACTAATAATATTTACCTTGCATATGAATCCCAGACATTTGTGATGCACTTAACCCGGTGTCTGTTATATAAGAAGACTCATAACTTGGAATCGTTGTTTTTATTTATTCAGTTGCTGTCTAGTAAATTACTAAAAGGTTAGCAGATTGGGATAACATTCATAATTATTATCTCACAGATTCTGTAAGTCACAAACGTGGACACAGCATAGATGGATTCTCTGCTCAGGATCTCATAAGGCAGAAATCAAGGGTTGGCTCAGTTGTGTTCTCATCTGGCCCTTGGAGTCCTCCTTCAAGTTACTTCACTTCCTTCAGTTTGTTGGCAGGGTTCAGTTCCTTATGGTTTCAGGACAGCTGGGATTATTCACAGCTACTAGAAATCACATTCAGTTCTAGCCACATGGCTTTCCTATAACATGGCAGCTACTCCTCAAACCAACAGGATAATTCTCCCATCTATACGGTATCAGGTATATATATAATCTGCTTATTTACCATTCCATAATCATGGAAGTGGCCCAATGTGTGCATGGGATGGGAGATTTAAGGGGAGGGGATTATGCAGGGCATATTCAATAAGGAGGGAGAATCTTGGGGCCATCTTTGAATTCTGCCTATCATACTATCATATCATCAAGAACACTCACCCTGCAAACCCGTGATAGGGAACAGTCTCTTAGTTTACAGTGAAATATCTGAATACCACTGACCCTAAAGCAAGAAATCCTATATCTCCCTTGAATGCTCCCCCTCTTCCTCCACACATATATGCGCACATGTGCACACACACACAAACACACACACAGAGACAGACACATACACTTCTTACCAAAGAGCAAGAAGATTTTGAGAAAAAAGAACACCAAGCAATTACAGGTTGCTGTTTGTATGGTGCTGGGCCCTTTGCCTAGTCCTGGTTCAGTGCCCCCCACTCCACTGGGCATTTCATTCTCTCACATTCTGTGTTTAAACACCCTTCTCCATAGTGCATCTGCAGGGCCTATGGACCAACAACTGGAGGGTCCCCCTGCTCCCAAACACAGTCCCTTCTGCTAGCACAGGTCATCTTGAGACTAGATTTTAATGTGGTTTCTGCTCAGATGTCACCTTCTCAGAGTCATCCCTGAACACCCTATTTAAAATCATGTTACCTATCACCCTGATTCTCTCAACCTGCCTGGCTGGCACCTGCTTTATTTTTCACTGCAGTAGAATTTATTACCATCTAAAACAGGACCTGTTTTTCTTGTTTATTGTTTGTCTCCCTCCTTTAGAAAGAAAGGTCCTCCACAGGCATTTCCCATTTAGGTTTGATTTCTCCACCCCAGGACTCAGCAGGGAGCTGAGTGGCTGCTCATCTGATGCACACTCTTTAGGGGTCTCTGCTACATGTTAGTTGATGCAAGTCACTGCCTTACGGGAGCATCTCATTGAAATCATGACAATTTGGGTACTAGGTAGAGAAGTGCTTGGGAAAACTAGTTGTAAAAAACATCCATATTGTTTGTGGGTTTTGTTGTTGTTTGTGTGTGTGTGTGTGTGTGTGTGTGTGTGTATGTATGTGTGTATGGAGGGTGTGGTAGTTGTTGGGGGTGCCTCTCAGCTTAGTTGATCCTTGAAGAATATAGGATTTAGCTTCAGTCCATGCTGTGTGTTTACAAAGAGGCAAAACAAAGCTAAAAATTCCTACCTATACTGCTTTGATTTTCGGCATACGTGTGTTGAAATGTCACACAGCTTCTAGAAATTAACCCTATTAATATGTACAATTAATATATGTTAAGAAAAAAATACATAAAACCTGCTAATAAATATAAGAAATTTGAACTGTATTTAAAAAAAAGAAAAAGAAAAAGCAGAACAAACATAACCTTAGAGAAGTAGCTTTAGAGATCTGGTCTGCTGACTTCCAGGCAACTATCCTTCTTAACTAATATTTTCTACATTGTTTTTTAACTTAAAACAAGCCTGTCTGTATTGCAAATTCAGTGCCAAAAATCTTCATGGAATTGTATGTTTCTTCCAGCTACTTTTTTAAAGAAAAAAAAATTTTCACAATTAGGTTATCATTTTACATTATTGAGGAGTAATCTACCACCTGTCAGAGTTTGATTGTCCAGATGTTAGTAACCATTCTTTAACTTGTACACAACTGTTAGAGTCTGTAAACAAGTCAGGATGGTGCCTGGCATTTTGCCAGAGAAATGTTAGAGTCTGTAAACAAGTCTGGATGGTGCCTGGCAAAATGCCAGAGGGAGTGGTTTGTGAAGTAACACCAGCGAGCCATTAAGTGTGGAGATTCCTTATTGGTTGATTGATGTATCTAGTTTATGCTAATTAGATAAGCTGTGTGGAATGTATAAATACTGCTCCTATCCTGCAATAAACGGCTCCTACTCCTGCTGTATCAATCTATACAAGTTGTTCGTCACCCCCCGGTTATTTTGCTGCAGCCGGACTGTGGCACACAACTAGGGATGTTTTGGCCCACTCTCTTTTCTGTTATGATTTTTGGATCTCATGACATTTTTTTGTGGTTTTGAATCATAGCAACGGCCACGTATGCTTTAACATCATTTTGGACTATAAAAGGGGTACTCAAACCCTGGAAGGGGGTCAAAGGGTGTAGACTTACAACCTACCCCTTCATCTGCCAGCTGGGGGATCCAAACCACCTGGTGAATAAAGTTTCTGTCTCTTGCTTTAAGATTCACTTGGTGATTTATTGCAATCTCACCTTAACAAAGGGCCCCAACCATTCCACTCATTTTGCAAATGAAGAAACTGAGCCTCATGAGGTTAACTTGCTAGCAGCCCCACCACTAGGAAGTGGCAAGATCAGGACTAAGCCTTCTAACTTTTGGGCTCCATTATCTCTTCTTTAGGCATTAGTGAACTTAGTGGGGGTAGTTCCACCTTTTCCCATGATCAGGATTGTAAACTGATCAGAGATCAGTGCATATTGCTAATAGTCTGTGGTGGAGCTTCCTTCTGGGTGAAAATGTGGCAGGTTTTGAGTCATGATGCCTTCCCAGAGGATCCCACTGTGAATTGGCACATGAAATACATAATAAACACAGAACTTTGAATTACGTGGGCTGCATCCATCTCTTACCTTTCCTTTGGGCCACCAGACCGACAATAGGCAGCTCTGCTAGTTGTATGAAATGCAGTGGTGGCAGCAATGTCCTTTCACCCATCTGTTTTTTCCTTGTAATAATATTTACATTGAAACCTGGCCAGGACCATGTGACTGATTTGGCTCTTCCTTCTGACCCAGAATGGTGACCAACCAGCCTGTGCATTCTCTCTCTCTCTCTCTCTTGCAGATGCCGCTCCTATGAGGACTGCTGTGGCTCCAGGTGCTGTGTGCGGGCCCTCTCCATACAGAGGCTGTGGTATTTTTGGTAGGTTGCGATTCTTTCTTGTTCCCAAGTGCTGGTCTCTATCATTGCCCCCAATCCTCAAGAGCTCTGCCTACTGTCAGCATTGTTACTACCTCAGTTCTGTCACCTTCACCTTGGATTATGGCATTTGGGATGGCCTAGGCCAACGAAACCAGTACATAGGTTGGCTTCCTGAGAGTTGGTTATGCTCACAGAGTTTGCGGAAAGCTCATTCCACTTCCACAGGCTCCTGGCTGGGGAGGAAGAGTTATGCTTTTGGAGAGGGGGCTGGACAGTAGCCTCTCCCTTCATCAGCTGAGGAATGAATGGAGCTCTTTTTGGGAAATGGAGCTAAGGCTGATTATCTTGAGGAATCAGAATCAGCAGATTGAGACTTGTGATAAAGTTTCTGCTGTCTGGAAGGAAATTCTCTCCATTCACCCTATGTCAGCTGAATCTTAGCTTTCAAGATAGGCAGCCTGCATCCTTATCCCTCCTCCACCTCGTGGTGGGGGAAGTTTGAAGAGCCATGTGAAATCTATCAAATTGGACTTAGGAGGATAGGATGCTGAGTTTCTACTACAGAGAGAAGCCTCAATTTGGCTAACAATCCCCAGAGGATGCCCCTTTGGGGATTTCTGAGAATCCATTTGACACTGTTGATAATAGGTATGTTAGTCAGCTCTTCATAGCTGTGACCAAAATACCTGACAAGAATTTATTTAGAGCTTATGGTTTCAGAGCTTCAGTCCATGGTTGGCTGACTTCATTGCTCTGGGTCTGAGATGAGGAAGAACATAATGGTGGAAGGGTGTGGGGGAGGAAAGCTGCTCAGCTCATGGCAGCCAGGAAGCGGGGTGGGGGGGGCAGGAGCCAGGGACAAAATAGAATCCCCAAGGGCACATCCCCCATGACCTGCTTCCTCTAGCCATGCCCCACCTGCCTACAGTTACCACCCAGTAATCTATTGAAATTACAAATCCATCAAATGGATCAATCCACTGATTCAGTTATAACTTTCTTAATCTAATCTTTTCACCTCTCAACATTCCTGCATTACCTAAATTAGCTTTTCAGCAGCCACCTCCTATCCAAACCACAGTAGTTTTTGCTTACCATGTCAGATATGGCAGAGCACCATGGGGAGGAATTTCTTTAAAACCAAAAGAGCATTTCTTAGACCCACCCATTTCTCTGTTCTCATGTGATGGTGATATCCTCAGGTGAACTCCACTAAGGGTTAAGACTTCATGCTCTTCCTGACTTAAGCTCCTTTATGACTTTAAGATTCTGACCTTATTGACACTTTAAAGATTTTAAAACCTTACTGAGAACATTATAGCAGCCACTTGAATTTTTGTGAGGTTTTCTTTAACAATTCTTCCCAATGTGTGGTCAGATAAGCCAACAGGGAGTGGGGGCTGCACTTGTCACATGAGCCTTTTCTTTAACAGCAATAGCTCCTTGATTGGACTTTAGACGTTTGGAAACTGAATCTCACCTGTACCCTTAGCACCTGGCCAGGCCTCCCTTAGGATCACCATAGGCAGCCTTGACTGGATGGCTGCACCCTACTGAATGAGGGAGTGTTGACGCCCTGCTTCCCCCACCTCACAGTTGCTAGTGTCTAAATCTATAGGGGAGGTTGGATTGTTTTAGCCCAAGACTTCACAAATGTAAACAACTTTATGTAAATTTCTAAGTGGAGAGGACTAGAACCAAAGTGGGAGAGGACAGGTGGGAAGTGGCATTTCAGAAAGTGACCTAGCTTGAGGACATGCTCTTACCCAGGATTATCTTCGTGGGACCTCATGGCAGATGGAGGCAGGACTGTCAACAGCATGAAATCCTGATCCCTTGAAAGGATTTGGAAGTATTCGAGTTGTCTGAAGCACAAGATGAAAGATGATGAGTTTGTGGGAATGCCCTGGAAACAGACAAAACAAATGTCAAAGATTGTTATGTGATTAAAAAAGAAAAAACAAAAATGAGCATCCACAAAAACTGATAAGGCTTGGCAGCTTCCGTTGGTCTTCCTGGGAAATTTTACCTGAACTGGCAACCAGGTGCTCTAGAGCTGTTGGCTGGGGTCACCTGTCAGAAGCAGGATCCCTTGATATGGTGGCACATGGTTACTTACCAGGATCCCATACACACAGAAGCTATGTGAGTCCTGTTGAATGAGGTCAAGCACTTGCAAGGTCAGATCAGAGTGCCAGCTGCCAGAAGGTTTCATCAAGTTGCTAGAACTGAGGTTCTGACATAAGGTTCAATTTGAGGTAGAGCCAGAGAACACCTTGCTATGTGAGTTTGAGGTGCCCCAGCTAAAATGCAAAGGATACTAAAGTATCCTTTCTGCCTCATGTCTTCCTTCTCTCAGTAAATATCAGATGCCTAATGCACACCACGTGTTCTGCTGTGGGTCCTGTGGAGAGGCCCTTATGGCAATCAGGCTTCTGAAAAAGACAGATGACTAAGTAGATAAGTACAGGTAGATAATTTTAAGCCAGTGTTCTGCAAATAGCTCACAGATCCTCTGATGAAGGTTGAGAAAAGCTAGAAAACTTTTGAGTAGGTAGATCTTCAGAGAGGGTGTCCCCATCAAAGAGACAGCACAGTGCAGGGACAGGAGCATAAGAAGAGTACACATAGGAAGAGAGTGATGGGAGGCTTCCAGCAGGGGATAGACTTTTGGTGAAGAGGATAAAGCTGACCAACTCTAAAATCTTGAATGATCTTTAGCCAAGTAGATGTGAAAGAAATTGTCAGGGTTAGGAATGGGTGGGCTGGTGACACCCTTAATTACAACTGGAAAGCACACAGGGTCCGAGACTGGCAGGTCCAGCTCTATGGGTGAGCCTGCTGCTGGGGCTTCCCGTGCTGGGTTCTGGAGTGGGTTTCAGGCAACAGAGTTTGCGTAATAGCTGCACCCTGGCCACCGTGGCTCTCAGAGTTGAGAATGGCTATACTAAGGCCTAGGGGGAACACTGTGAAGTGTTGCAAAAACAAACTAAAATTAAGAAACTAAATTGCTTCTAATGATAGAAAAGGAACAAGACTTCCTCTCTTAATCCTTGGAAAGTTTCCAAACCCTACCAAGCAACAAAAGATTATATAGTGAATCAACTTGTAGCTCTTAATTCTTTAAGAACTATTTTTCTTTATGTATCATACCTTTATCTCTTAACTGACCTGTTGTGGCCTCCCTTTCCTCCTTCATATCATTCTTCTGCCCTTTTATCAGTTCCTTTCTTCTAAAATAAGTTCTCAGACGAATGAATTTCTACAAGGAATGAGTCAGGTGGTGATTGATACCTCAACTAGGAGTTGATCTCCTGCCATGTGACTCTGTGCTATATGTTTGCCTCATACTTGTTATCTGTCACTCTACAGTATGAGGTACAAGGTCATTTTTCTTCAAGGAAAATTGTTTTTTTTTAAAAAGATCCACTTGGGAATGGAATCAACATTTTGGCTTTATTCATGGAAGAGACCAATATCTCAGATGACGTCTGTATTTTGCAATCCTGGGAATTGTTCTCTTAGCAGTCATAGTATTTGGGAAAGTAAACCCTTGCATACACTCACTCAGCCTTTCTATGGTTTATATAGTACCACTTAGATACTTTCAGTTGCATTGAGTGTTGAAGGTCTGACTCCACCCAAGGGAAATTAGTTTTCTTTCTTTTTTGTTTTGGATTGGGGATTGAACCCAACGGTACTTAACCCACTAAGCCACATCCCTAGCCTTTTCTTTCTTTTTTCTTTTTTTTTTTGAAACAGGCTCTCACTAAGTTGCTAAGTGAGTCTGTCTTTGAACTTGTAATCCTCCTGCCTCAGGTCAGCCTCAGGAGCCACTATGATTACAGGTGTGCTCCATTGCACCAGTAGGAAATTCGTTTTAAGAGACAAATTTGTTTTTCTCTGCAATCTCAGCATTCTTATTGCCGACAGTTGCCTTACTCATCAACACCTTGCAATTTGAATCTTTGACTACCAGGTCTGTACCCACTGTCCACACCTCCAGCCACAGAGCCTTTCTTTCTGGGTCTCTCCCCTGAACTTTTCCTGCCATGGCACCCTTACATGCACTGTTCTTTCCACCCAGAATGCTCCTTCCCTCCTCTCCAGCTTGTCTCTTCTTATTTCGTAGGCTCCAGTTCAAATGTCACTGAAGGGCAGGATACTTTCTCGTATCAGAGTTTAAGTAATTGTGTATATTTTTTGTTTACTGTCTCCCTTCCCCGTTAGAAATTAAGTTGTGTAGGGGAACCCCACCTACTTTTCTTCACTGTCATTCTCAGCATGGTGCCAGGGGCATTCAGGAACTTAACAATTGCTTGTTGAATGAATAATGAATTAGAAGGCAACACAAAGGCAACACATGCAGTTCCTCCCTCAATCATTTTCTATCATTTTCTGTCCCCTACCTCTGATTGTTCTCGCTGCTCAATGTTCCAAAGTTATCCAGTAGGTTCTTGTTGTTTGACCTTGTACTTAGCATCTTATTAAGTGAAAGGTCTTACCATCAGCTCCTCTCTCCCTCCCCTCCCCCCCCCCCTCTCTCTCTCTCTCTCTATATATATATATATATATATAATGGTGCCATTGACCATGACCAGCTCACCCTGTGCAAAGGTATCATTAATAGGCTTTCCTCCAACAATGTGATATGTTGTGTGAGGTTCTGGTAGATTCTATAGGTTCCATCACAATTTAAGTTATGAAATGGGCAAGAGTTTCTCAATTTTGTCTGTTAAACAAAAGGTCTATGGAAAGAAGTCATTCATTCAGTCATCCTGTAATCAGTTGCTGAATGCTGATAATGTGAGTCAATGAGAATTTTTACATGAAATGCACTTAAGGCACTTGGCACCACAGTCAATTAGGTATTAGGGTCAAATGTTTATCCGTATTTAGAACCTGAAGTTTTCTAAATTGTCAGCTTTTCTGTTAATTATATTTTCTCTATTCTTGTAGTATTTCTATAATTAAGGTATGCTCTAAGAAGCATAGTTTTGTTTCATTATATAGATGTTCATATAGCCATGGAGACAGCTGTTGGAAAGATTAAACATGTTCACTCTCATGGCTGTGACAGTGAAGAATGGAAAATGGGGGAAACAGGCAAAGTCTGTATCTGGTGTGGTTTTGAGACAGAATTAAGACAGCATCTTCTGTTCAGACTAAAATATTAACCTGATGTCAGAGCCATGGATGTCAGAAGGTAATCGCATCAGTGCTTTGAACCCAGCTAACCATTTGGAGCTGTTTGAGACAGACTTCTCACAGAGCACCTCAGTATCAATGGCTTCCATCCAAGGACCTCCCAGGAGTCTACAGGCCAAGAATCCATGTGGCCCCATCTCACTATGCCCTCTGACCCATCCCTGGATCCCCAGGGAGACCATGAAGCCTGCAAGTCACAGGCCTGAACCCTGGGGCCTCCTCTCAACCTCCTGCCTGCTCTGAGCTCCAGCCTCATATCTGGCTCTCCTCAGGTTCCTCCTTATGATGGGTGTGCTCTTCTGCTGTGGAGCGGGCTTCTTCATCCGGAGGCGCATGTATCCCCCACCGCTGATCGAGGAGCCTGCTTTCAACGTGTCCTACACCAGGCAGCCCCCCAGCTCGGCTCCAGGTCAGCCAGCCCCCTGTCCTTGTCTCTCCTCCCTATAGTTTTTCCTGTCTTCTATAAACATTTATAAAGGGTACTGCCACAGAGTATGACTTGAGAGAGAAAATTCAGGCTATTTTATTCATTTAAATGTTGATGACCAAGATTATATATTCATTACCTCATATTCTTACATCATTATTGGTACGACTTGTATACAGTTCATATATGCATATTATTTTGTTCTATTCCTTTTTCCTTAAAAATTATTTCATGTATAAGTTTCTGGGTAGGAACAGTAATTTCTCTGCCATTCTTAATGCCTCTGGATTTACTGTTGTATTACTAAATAGAACTTGCCTAATTCCTCTATGATTGCTGATAATTTTTGGTTTTACCTTTTATTTATACATCTATTCAATGTATTTAATGTGCACTTACTAGTATTATAAGTGCTGCTGTAAACATTTTTCTTCAAGTTATATTTGGTCTTTTTAGAGCATATCACCTAAAGCAATGTGTCAGAGTCCAAGAGAATGAGCTATTTCTTAGTTATTTTAAAACATTTTGCCTTAACTTTGAATCTCTTATCTACTATGGTGGGCAGCATTGGCTTTAGACATTGGCTGGTGCACTGGTTTTGACATTGTATGTGAGGTCCCACTTCCTTAGAAGGAGCTTTCTGAGAATACATGAGAGCCCAGAGCCTCAGAGGGCTGGTAAGGCTCTGTTCATTAGAGCTCTGGGCTTGTGAACAGGTGTGCAGTGAGGATAAGGGGTAGGTTTGTGGCTTGTGTTCATGCTGCTCTTCTCCCAGTTTCTACCTGAGAGACTGGGGGGGGGGGGGGGGGGCGGTGATGACTAGTTGATTGCATACTGCAAGTGGATTATCAGAATTCCTGGAGCAGTTCTTACCTTGCTTTTACAAAGTTCTGGTTAAACAAAATGAATTAGTCTTAGAGCATCCAGGCTAGGATGAATAAACTGTGATGTAATAATTAAAAATTTGTTAAGAGGGTAGGTCTTAATATTAAGTGTTCTTATCACTCACAAAAAATACTAATAGTAAATAAGAGGCTAGAGAAAACTTTGGAGGAGATAGATATGTTTATGCTATACATTATAGTAACGATTTCATGGATATTTAGTCATTGGCAAACCCATGTTTTATACATTGCATACAGCTTTTTGCATATCAGTCACACCTCAAGAGAGTAGTTAAAATAAAAGAGAGAATATGGGGGATTGAATGTAAAAAGGACAGACTGTCCTCAAGATGCAAAAAGAACAGAGATGGTCATTTACACATTGCTTTTTCATGGTTTTCTTCTACCAGATATTTTGCAGGATTTTCCTTTAAAAAAGAATTTTCTGGGTTGGGCATGGTGGTTTGAGACCAGCCTTGGCAATTTATTGTGACCCTGTCTCAAAACTAAAAAATAAAAAGGACTGGGGATATAGCTCAGTATTAATCTTCCCCTGGGTTCAATCCCCAGTTCAACTCTACTCCCCCCCCAAAATTATACTTTTATTGATTATTTTTTAAAATGTTACCCAGAAAGATATGAATATAGAAATACATTAAACTGTCACTCAAGGCTAGTACCATTTTGTAAGTACACATGAATTTTATTCTTTCATGTTTTTTGTTTGTTTGTTTTGGGTTTGGGTTATTTGTTTGTTGGCAATGCTGGAAATTGAATCCTAGGCCTAAGGAAGCACTCTACCCAGTGGAGGCACATTGAGCTACACCCCAGCCCTTATTAGTGTTGAATTCATATTTGATCACAGTGTGAAATCCAAATTTTCAGCTAAACTGGAAAGCCAAAGCCATCATTCATTGAATTTTCATCTGGATTAATTAGAGAATTTTTGATACAGGGGAAGCAGCCCAGGCCCTCGTTGGCACACATGGCCACACTGGCCCCACAGATACAAGTTGCATGTGTCCTTGGTTCTTTGTGCTAGCTGAGTGTCAGGATATGTTGCTCCTCCATTCATCTGCACTGGGACAAACATAAGCAGGTGATGTTATTAGATCCACATTTTAGCTGTATAGTTTCCCTTGAATGTCCCATGGCATCTGGGTATTAGCAGAAGAGAATGCATCCCTGTTTGCTCTTCTTCTTCATGCTGGTCTCTGTTTTCTGTGTAGCCATGCACCATTTCTCTTGGTGGAATCATTTGTCTCCTTTGCCAACTGTATCCAACAAATAAGTCATTAGATTTTACTGAATTTTACTTCAGACCCTTATCTCACCCTGAGCAGCTCCTATTACAAGTTTTCCTAGTCATGGGTCTCCACTAGCTCTTCTCTGTCTTCCACATATCCATTAGAAAGTTCTAAGAAAAAGAAGAATGTAATTAGTGTTATTCTTCTGCCTCAAACTCTTTGTTGGCTTACTTTGCTCATAGATGCAAGTCTAGACTCCATAGCCAAGGACCCAGGCCACTTCATATCTCACCTGACTTCTCCCTACACCTCTACATCTGATCCTCTGTGCCTAGGCTGAGTGACCTCCTCCGTCTAGTCCTGCCATCCCACGGGTCCCACACCTTCCTGAAAACACTCACTCTTCCTCCAGGATGTTGCTCTGTGTTGCCCCCAGGGTGAGATCACCCCTGGCCAGTCTCTCTCCTTCACTTTCTTCCCTGGGTGTTCTGCCTCCTGCTTTAACAGCTTTTACTATGGTGGGCTTTGGTCTTGGTCTGTTCTGTGCTGCTATAACAGAATACCAGAGTCCAGATATTCATAAAAAACAAATTTATTTCTCATGGTTCTGGAGGCTGGGAAGTCCAAGATTGAGGGGTCAGTATCTGATTGGGGCCTCCTTGCTATTTCACAATGTGGCATAAGCTATCACATGAGTGAGAACTATTAAGAGATTGAACTCATGGTCCTAAGCCCATTTGTAATTGGCATGTAATTCATTCTTGAAAGAGGAGACCTCAGTGACCTAAATGGCTCCAATTAGGCCCACCTCCAAACATTACTGCTTTGCAGATTAAGTTTCCAGCTTGCTTTTACAGGGGACACATTCAAATCATAGCATCGTTAGTCCTTCATGTATACAATAGACTCCCCAATTCAGCTGTGTGTAGTACTCGGGTCTCAGGTACCAAGAAGATGCCCAGCCCATGTCTGTGGGCCAAGTGAACTGCAGTTGCTCCTGGGTTTACAGCCTGATAAAGTTGGGCTTAGAATACAGGGAGCCATATTTGGAGCCTAGAGGAGCCCAGACCTGTAAGAATTATTCTTTTGGCCCATATTTACTCTAAACCCACTAAGATACCTGCAGGTGTGTAGGATACCAGTGCACAGCCTGAATTCCAGCCCTGTGTGCATTGCATAGCTTTCTCACTGGTGTGATAGCCCATAGCACAAAAATAACTAGTCTGCCCTCCATATCTGAATGTTCCACATCTGCAGATTCAACCAAGTATTTATTATATTTGAAAAAAAAGCATCTGTACTAAACATGTAGAGACTTCTTTCCTTGTCATTATTCCAATAGAGTATAATAAATAGAGTATAATAAATATTTATATATTGTTTGCATCATATTAGGTATTATTAATGATCTAGTAATAATGTACTGTATATGGGAGGATGTGTGTAGGTTATATACAAATACTGTGCCATTTTGTGTAAGGGACTTGAATATCTGCAGATTTGAGTATTCAAGAGGAGTCTTAGAACCCAAGGATAACTACATATAGTTACTGACCATAATGACCATACTGACCATAATATATATAGTTACTGCACAAAGTTGAGGATGCTTAGAAACCATGTAAATGGAAAACTCCATCTGGTGCTCAGATCCAGGAGGATTCCTATAGAAAGGTTATTTGGACTGAAGAGTAAGTAGCATCATTTAACCAAGATTGAAGTGGGGGAAGGGGTGGGAAACTGAGAACTGGAAGGTGGGGTCCTATCCTGTCTCATCAGCCTTTTTAAAATGCCCACAAGAGTCTCCTAAGCTACAGAGCTCCAAACAGCTGCTGTCAGTCCCAGAAGCTACAGTGATAACTGTAGTATTCTTTAGAAAAGAGAAATTTAACAATCTAAGTCAGGAGCCAGGAGTACATGCCTATAATCCCCATGGCTCAGGAGGCTGAGGCATAAGAATGGCAATTTCATAGCCAGGCTCAGCAACTTAGTAAGGCTCTAAGCAACCTAGTGCAATTCTGTCTCAAAAAGGGCTGGGGATCTGGCTTATTGGTTAAGCACCCTGGGTTTTAATTCCCACTACTAAAAAAAGGAAAAAATCTAAGCCAAGAGAAATAACAAAAAATCTCAACTACCTCTGTTGAGTACCCCTGAAAGCATATCACTCTTTTTTTTTTTTAAGTTTATGTAGCAAGAGAAAGTCAGAGAATCCTGAATGCTATAACTCCCACATCCTTCCCCATCATGCTGCTGAGAGGGCCTCATCCATGTGCCCTCCATGTTAAAGAGAAAAAACAGATTTCATTCATTCTTTCTTTCAATAATTCACTCAGGAAGCGTTAGCTAACTAACACCAGGGGCCAGGATTTGAGTGGAATATGCTCACTAACCTGTAGGAACACAAACAGTGGAGAAATCAAACTTAGAAACCCAGGCTAAGGCAGAGCCATGCCTGTAGGGTAGGAAGGACTGGATTTCAGGAAAACCTGAGAGGTGGCCTCCACTCAACTCAGTGCTTTTGTGGTTGAATGAGAGGAAGGGGTAGTTCTGGGAGCTACAAAATAAAAGAAAATTAAATTATAGTCTGTCTTCTGTACGTAATATTATATAGCTACTGAAGCTGATAGTCAAGGTCAAGGCTACATAACTGTAAGGCAAGAAAATCAAAAGACACACTTAGCAAAGAGAGAGGTAGGTAATATCTTCAGAAGAATGGCCACATCATCACCAGCGTGATCACACAAGTATACGTAGAGAGATTGGGCATAATGTTAATGAAATCTTTGATGTTATTTTTATTTAAGTTTTTAAAAAATTATTTGTTATTTTGTTTGTTTGTTTTAATGAAGTA